CCCCCCTCTCTCTCTCTCTCTCTCTCTCTCTCTCCAACCTCTTTCTATTGTCTCTCTTTCTCAAACCCCCCCTTCCCGTCATATCTTTTCCCTCTCTCCCTTGTCTCATACTGCGCATCGAGAAGAGAATTTGCCCATCTTTTCAGCGACATGTCCCATTCCCCGCCATCCAGACATATGTCTCTCATCCAAGCTGGGATTTTGCTTTTACACAACGCCACAAGAGAAACCCATCATCACCTGCCCCTCCATTTTTCCACTTTCCACATTCTTCTCCGTCATCGCCTCCTCCAATGTCCCATACCCACAAGGAAGAAAATCTCACAGCAAAGAGAGAGAGAAACACACACACACACACCCGCCTCGAACAAAGAACGCTCGAGACCTTTTGCCCCCAAAAACCCAGCTCTTACCCTGCCTCACCTGACTCAAAATCCACCTAATCCATCCTAATCCTAATTGACCCCCCAAAAAACAGGCAGATTTCGTCCGCTACGGCAACGCAAAACGCATAATGTCCCTCTCCAAAGCAGACACCTCGTCCCTCTGGAACGCAGTCCAAGACAACGACTACGCCTCCTTTGCAAAAATAAACGCCCTCCTCCTCAACGCGCCCACCCCCCTCCGCAACGTGCCCCTGCGCGTCTACATCCCGTCCTCGCCCCCGCCCGGGACCGGCAGCAGCAGCAGTAACACCGTCGTCGCCAACACCAGCACCACATCGCCGCCACCACCACCAACCTCACAACAGGTACCTCCAACAACAACATCACCAGCACCAGCACCAGCACCAGCATCAGCAGGAGACACACCAGGAACAGGCGCCTTCAAAGTCCTCCAAACCCTCATCCCCCCCGTAATCCCCGGCACCCGCACCCGCCAGACCCTAGGCCGCGCGCTGCAGTCCCACCTACCCAGCTTATTCCCCTCCAGCCGGGACCCCGTGCTTGCCAACGTCGTGCTGCACGGCTCGCCCGTGCCGTTTTCGGCGCCGTTGGAGGATCTGATGCGCGAGGCGGCGTATCCGGATGGGTGGCTGTGTTTGGCTGTCGTGTTGCTGTGAGAAGAAACGAGTTAGGGGTGGGGGGGTAAATAGATAGAAGATGGTGTGTGAAGGGTACTATGGATGGCACGTAGCACGGAGGGCGTCTTATGGATTGGGCGGGGGGTTTGGAGTTCATTGGAGTCCGCACTTAAATGCATCATTTTTCGAGCCACAGGTTGCGAGAGTTTATTCCCTACATATTTATGCCATAAACCCTCGTGTTTCCTAAATTGCCCGCGGTGATGCTTGACATGGGAGTCACTTTGGACTATTATCGGATAGCAGAGGACCACCCACTTCGTTCTGAGATCTGGTTCTTCTTTATTAGATAGAGTGTGGATAATCAAGATGCTATTATATAAGCATTCTCGTAGATTATGTTTGTGATAAAATTACAGTACAGAACAACCCGAGCTAGCCGGAAATACAAAACATCAAAATCAGATCTATAACCGCCTACCTCACCTGATATACGGCGATCCAAACCCGCCCTGGTCAAATTCCGGCCGCCCAGCACTAGGCAACAAACCATTCAAATCAGCAAACAACGCCTGGGTATGCGTGTCGTAATACATATCATCGCGACTGAAATCAGCCTCCCCAAAGTCCTGGCCTGTAAACTGCACAGCCATATCCGGCGGCACGGGCGTAGGCTGAATCATCGTCGTCGTCGTCTCTTCCTGCGAGCTTTGACACTGTTGCAGCCGCTGCGGCGGCGTCTGTGTTTGCGTCCGCTGCTGTTGTACCGGATCATCTTCGCGCCTGGAAGAGGAAACCCCGTTGGCTGGGGAGGCACGGCTTGCTTCATCGGACTCTGTGCGCGGCGGCGTCGTGGAGATGTTGGCATCGTGAATCCGTCGGAGACCGCGACGCGCCATCCATGCCTCGTAGATCCTTTCCTGTAGTTGATTGAACGCAACGCGGTCGTACATGGCGGCCCTCCTTTCGTCGCTTGCGAAGCCGGGGTCTCGGGAGGCTAGGTAGTCCAGCATCATATCCGTCCCGACACTGGTGTAGAACTCGCGCAGACTGCAGAGGTCCTCCGACAGCACACCATCAATATACGGCGATGACGGCCGCGGCTTTGAAGGGAACACGATATCCCAGATGGTGAACCACTGCTCCTCGGGACTATGGCTCGGGTTCGCGCGCTTCGAGACCTGTCGCATCCGGCCCTGGGAGAGACCTTCGTGGCTGGGAATGTACCCCTCACTAACTACCTCACAGCGCCGTGCACGCGCGTGCTGGTCTCGCGTCTCCTCGTCCTGGAAGGCGGCGCCGCAGCAAGGACAAGTGATGGGTGCGGCGTGGAACCGGTAGAGGTGGCTTTTGACGTATTTGATCTGGCTGAGAACCTTTTTGTAGCATTGGCGGTGATTATCGGGGTCGTTTTTCCAAAAGGGGCACGCAAACATCAACTTCGAGGTGTTCGTTGGGACTCTTGGCTTCTTAAATCCCGGTATCACGTTGGAGTCCCCGCCATCTGAGGCGTCTTGGTCAGGTAGGTCGTCAGAGTGCGAGCGTTTCCTCGACGAACGACCGGAATCGGGCGTATTGGTGTTCACGCGCTGGCCCGAGGCTCGTCGGCCTTGTCCACCCCTTTCCCGGACATTCCATTCCTGGTAGCGTTGGAAGATGCTGCCGACGATAACATCCATGTGTAATGCGAACGGATCATCCCGATCGAGTTGACACGGCTCCATGGGTGAGTCCGGCACTGAGAAGACGCTCGACTCGATGGATGATTCATCTCCACTGTCGTAGGCGGAGTCGGACTGCTCCTCGACGGCAAGGAAAGATGGCCGAGGTGTCAGGTTTGCGTGCCAGTTCAGGGGGAGGTTGGGCGGGCCGGAGACAGGTCGCGGCATTTTTAGTGAGGTGGGCTGAAGGGGCCGTTCAAGCTGTGCGCGAGGCTCATTTGAAGTGTCGATATGTAGGCTCGGCCTAGCCGTGCGTGGGTCTGCAAAGGAGACGGGGTGGCCATCAGCGTCCTCGCAGAGGGATAAGCGATTCCTAGCCCTCCGAGTGAGGTCATCTCCAAACGTGGAACTTCTCCGGATGGATGGTGGTCCGATGAGCGAAGGTTGATGTTGTGAAGCATTATCCTCGGGAACAGGCGGAATCTTTATTGAAGTGATGCTGGGCACTCTCGTGCCCCTGAGCGCTCTCATGACCCTGCTTTTCGATGTTGGGGGTTGCTGTCTGCCAACTGAGTCGCGCAGAGCTGTGGTTCCCTTCATTCGCCGCAGGCCTTTAACGGAAACGGAGAGATCATTGTCACATATCTGCCTCTCTGCGTCCAGGCTTTCCCTGCTGGTCGCCACTCTTTCGCTTTGCTTCGATAGTGCCTCACATATTTTCGTCTTCTGCGTTGCAAGTCCAACCTCTTGCGATGCAAGGGCTGGGTCAATGGGCGAAGTAGTAGCGACAGCGGCGCTATGTCTACGCAGATGCCTCATACGTCGCCATGGCACGCCCAAAGTCTCGTCGCTATCCGACTGGGGTGATGGACATCGGCGGATGAGGATTTCGGACTCCGATCTCTGATGGATCTCGACATTTCCGAGCCTCGCGTTCTGGTACTCAAAAGCGTCTCCGCTCCGGTCACGACTTCGTCGCCGCGTATCTGACCCATAGCCGGAATCACCCGAGATCCTCTTGCAGTGTCTCTCCTCTGCCGAACCCGGCCGCTCTCCCAGGCTGTCAACAGACGGGCTTCCCCTTTGGTGTTTCCTCGGGTTATGCGGCTGTGGTTGTTGTGGTTTGACACGATACGCCAGGCCGGGCATGTTTTCCGATTCAAGGGACGAGTGACGCCGGTCTCCAGGCTGCAGAGGAGTATCAAGGGTCCAAGAAAGCGGTCGCTCCAAGGAGATTGCACAAGGTGAAGGCATCTCGGAAACTTTGGTGTTTTGGTGGACGATGGTTACGCAGCGGGATGAGCGGTTCATGTGAAGGGACCGATATGCAAGGTCCCTGGAGGCCTCATCGACCCTTGCTGACGCGGTGGCAGATGGCCTCGATGATGCAACACCATCGTGTACTTGTGTTGCATCAAGCCTCGTCATACGGCTGCTTGCGACTGTCTTGTGTCCCATGCTGCCCACAACAGAAGTGTCAAAAGTTTCAAGTACCGACAGAAACTTCGCAAATGCGAAGCATAGAAATGTGGAAAAAAGGCGTCAGGAACAATGACGAGGAGATGGAGAGAGGGGGAAAAGGAGGGGGGAGAGCAGGCTCTGAAATGCCCTCGAACTAAAGCCACAGCGACACTTCGAAAGGGCGCATTTGCGCTGTTGTTCGAGTATGCGGGCTGTGCCATGCCAGGGGGGTGACGATCCGCACCAAAATCTAGGCAATCCTATGCAGGTGCAGCCAATGATGAAGATCATGCTGACCGAAAATACCCTTTCCCTCCTTTGGACACGACTCAAAGATGGTAGTCTGCGAAACTGAAGGATTGCGCAGCATCGCGCAGGTGATGCGCGAGGTGTTCTTTCCCCTTCCCCACGATTTATCAACTGAGATTGATGAAAGATCTGGAAAGCCTCACTGAGGCCAACCGTAGGCTAAACAGCGCGTTCGTGCCTTTGCGATTCCCTCAATTGAGCAGAACTTGCTGCTGGCCAACCGCGCGGAGCAGGTCATCGCTAGAAATGGCATCCTCAGGATCCCTATATGTACAGAAGCTGTTCCGTGCTGTGATCTGAGGCATCTCGTAGACACTATCGCGAACAATCATCCTCTTACAGCTGTAGTCGCGCATTGCAATCTGCAAGAAATCAATCAATTCAAACACCAACAATATCTTACCCCTTTTCTTCCCCACGATGTCTCAACGATCCGCACCGTCCGGTACCACCACCTCAAATGGCGGGTAAGCTTTTGCCTCTTTGCCTCTCTGGCTCTGATCAGTGTGGTCGCAGGGTCATGAATGCTGACGGTTCGGTGGGGTTGGTGTGTGTCTAGAGCCGGTGCCTATTACACAGCGCCAGCGCCTCAGATGGATAGGTATCTTCGAAGCCCGATGGAGCTGCCCGAGAGACTTGTCTCCATTGGGAACGGCACCTCGTCAACGCGGACGAGTTCAAGCAGTCGCCAGCAGACGAAGCGCTCCTTGACAGCATGGGAAGCGGGATGGCCGCAAACTGGCCAATCGTCGTGAATGGGACACCCTAGCTTGCATGACGGTGGGAGACCAGGGCTGTCAGGCACGATGTCAGCATTGCGCGAGACGTAGATAAGGAACCAACAGGATAAGCCGAGGGAGCGAAGACGGTTGGAAACGGTCGGAGGATATGAAGCGTTGGCGTAGCCACTATTGCAATTGTGTGAGCGCAAGACGAGAGACGCTTGGAGCCGCGATGGATGTAAAAGGCAGACAAGAAACAGTTAGAGAACGAGAAGAATCGAGAGACACGGAGACACGGAAAAAGGCAGAGAGAGCGAGAGAGAGAGCTGCCAAAGGAAGCTGTCTAGATTTAGACGCCGAGGGGAGCGTGGTGGGGTTGGTGGGGTTGCTATGTACGATAATGGCATCGACAGCTTGTCACTGCACTCGATAGATGCATATACCCACTTCACTATCTGTAATACCTCTTTTCTCAGTCCCCCGGCATTTCGGCCGTTCCCTGCGCGAAGCTCCCACTTATAAACCGGCCAGCCCTCGCCGGGACACACCACTTTACAGATCCCTCGGGTATTTCGTTCCTCTGATTGTGTATATAACCTGGTGTTCAGTCTGTAAGCTCCTCCCCCTGAGCCCCTGAGCTCATCCCCCCCCTCACTTCCCATTTCTAACATACCACAGGACACTCCTCATTCCCTCACACACACTCTCTCTCCGGATCGAGGGGTAGAAATCATGTCTTCCCTCACAGAAGCAACTGCAATCTTCTGGGCCCTCGTGGGCCCCTGGATGTTCCTCCTAAACGCCTTCTCCTACCTTCCCCCCACCATCCTCCGCCTCTTCCGCGAAGGCGACTACGCTGCCCTCACGACCCCCTCGCGCGTCCAAGACGCCTGGTTCTCCGCCTTTTGGGCCTGGCTCGGCCCCAACATCCGCGTGGGCAGGTCAGACATGATGGTCGCTCTCCTCGAGGGCCGCGTCACAGACGGCAAGGTCGTCGAGGACCCCGTCCATCCGCCCGTCAGCGGCGTCGTGCTGGAGATCGGGCCCGGGTCGGGGATGTGGGTGGACATCTTCGCCAAAGGCCGCAACGGCGACGAGAAGAAGAAGGCTGCCGAGGCAGCGGCTGGTATGGCGCGCGGCGGCGTCAGGAGGCGCGTCGCCGAGGGTGTGACGAGAGTCTACGGCATCGAGCCCAACACCGAGGCGCACCCCGCACTGAAAAAGAACGTACAGGCCGCCGGGCTCGAGGGCACCTACGAGATCGTCCCCACCGGCATTGAGTCTCTCTCCGACCCGACGGCGTGGAACGGCAAGATTGAAAAGGGCAGCGTCGATTGTATTGTCTCCATTCTCTGCCTCTGCAGCATCCCCGAGCCCGAGAAGAACATTGCCGAGCTCTACTCTTATCTCAAGAAAGGGGGCAGGTGGTATTTGTACGAACACGTCGAGGTGATGCAGAGCCGGCCCATTCGTCTCTATCAGCGTAAGTAAACCCCGAGGGTCGCGACTGAAGGGGTCGACCTTGATGCTAATTGTGTTAGGTATCGTCAATCTGGTTTGGCCTCGGGCTTTGAACGGCTGCCAGCTGTGCCGCAACACTGGTCACAACCTAAGGTCTGCAGGACCATGGGAGAACATTGACATTCGTCAACCTCAAGACGAAACATGGTTCCAAGTAGTACCGCACATCTTCGGAACTTTTACCAAGTGATTCATCGAACAGGCAAGGCGACTAGGCGCTGGCCAGGCCACCCAATCGCCAGCCTACTACTAATCAATGTGTCGGCCTGGGGACAATCGAAGCACAGTGCTATAATGACCGCTCACGGTCGGAGGTTTTCTCATGTCTTAATCGCATTCGAGGTGCATTCAATCATGTTGGGTATAAGCGATGCTCTTATTAATTGACTTAGGTAACTAGCTATGCTGCTCATCCCCAATCACCATATACCTGTAGTCCTTCAACCGGTCACTCATGATCAATGTACCCTGGATCACAGAGACTCCCACCAACCGATGCAACATTGTGGGTTGTGTAATGCGTACACCAATCGCCCCCTTCGTCCATTGATCGTATCGTCAAACTCCAGCAAACCGTTGGTTAACCTTCACATCAAGCTTTCGTAGTCTAGCTCAAAGCACTGGATGCATCAAAACGGGTAACGACGTTTCCGAGTGTTTGGAATAACTTGTGCTCTTCAGACGGGGAGAGACGGAAGTAAATGGATAGGCCAGCTCGGAGCAGCCTCCAGGTGCCGTCAACGCCGAGCGTTCCCAAGTCGATTTTGATAGCGTCAATCAGATCCTCCAATTTTGAAGGCGTGGCGACGAAGATGTCGTAGATATCCTCAGCTCCTTCTGTCAGGGTCTGGACATCAGCTGAGGTGATTCTGGCAAGGTAATACTGGAACGCATTGGTAAGTTCCTGCAAGTCCGCATTGCCTTTCAATATCGAATCAACGATTTTCATAACCGAGGGAATATGATCGCACAAGGGGCTGCAGAGCTCCTCGCAGATGAACTCCAGAGTAGCTGAACGGAGGGTATTGTCGATAACACTAAGACTGCCTTGGCTGTCTGAATGCCCTATGCGGGCGGGGGCGGCGTGGCTGGTCCCGGACGATTTTGGCAAAGCTGGGCGACTGTAGTCCTCAAGACCATGGCCGGTGACGAAAGCTGTGGCTAGCCTTGAGATGTCCGCAATGACTTCCATGGAAGATAAGACGACCTCCATGACAGGAGGGATGAAGAGACACGTGGGGGGATACCTCGTGCAGACGTGTTCCAGGGCGTTTTGGATTACTTGGACGGTCTTTGATGGCGTTAATGCGGAAATGTCGGAATGTTGACACTGACCAAGGAGATTACACCAGATGAAGCCAATGGCATCGTTGAATGAGTTGTCCGAATGAATTGTCTTTGGATTCAAAGTCCACGGCAGATAGGGGCATTTGTCTGACTCGGGATGGTCTCGACACCACCTCAGATACTGGTGCCAAGCAGGGAGAAAAGGCTTGCCCCCTGTGCACCGGCTTCCATCGTACACCGTAGTAGGAGAGGGCGAGGGAGAGGGCGAGGGCGAGCTGGAGAGGCCGTATTTGGGACTCAAGCGCCATGGACAGAAGGTAGCTTTGTGGCACTCAGGATCCGTAGTGTGATGAGAGCACCAGGCGCACTGGGCTTGCACCTTTTCCAAGCATACAGCTCTCAATAGAGAGGTACACGGCATCATTTCAGGGCGTACTGATGTCTTGGAGTAATCGACGGCTGGTGGTTGGCGAATGTTCAAGTCAAACTTGGTCTTAGGAGATTCGGCAGAGCAATGTAGATTGCTGGTTCTGTTGTCGAAGACGCAATTGTTCCCTTGGCTGTCTTGGACGACTTTCGTCGTATGGTTGTGGCAGAAGCCATCAGCTAGATGCCCGTCGACAGGTTCATCAACCAGAGATACAGCAAACTCGCCAAAATGAGAGTCGAAAGTACCGAGGGTGAAACAAAGACGACCATCACTCTTCTGATCGACTTTGGTGCCTTGAGGGTTGATGCTGGAGACGCCTCCGGGAATAGCCTGGTCCAGTGGTACAGAAGGAGAGACTGCAGTGACGAGCGAAGCTGGGCTAAGCAACAGCGGGGACGTAGCGAAAGTAGTGAACTTCATGATGGATATTGTTGATGATGGGGATTCCAAAAAACAAGAACGATGAAATGATTGGGTGTTGATCGTATTGAGGTTGGGATGGATGGTATACGGAGGTGATGTTGTCTGGGGGGAGGGAGATGACGTGAGAAGAATCGAGGTCTGGTCTACCGTACTACCAGTCCACGAGTTCATTAATTGCCTGTTTTGCGGCAGATAGATTTTGGAAAGAAGTTTCCGCTGCAGCGCGAATTAAGTGTCACTTCCTCAAACAAAAGTTTTGGCGAAGAAGGAAAGGGGTGGTTGGAGATTCGGTTTCCCAGGAAAGGAGCAGGGCTGACTCTCCTGCCAAGTCTGTAAGAATGGCAACTTGTCTTCTAACAAGTGAGAAGGAGCCACGCTTTGCTCACCAAAGCACTCTCAGGTACTTGCTGTCCATACGTTGGATCGACCGATCTTGTAGGAATATGGAAGAGGGTAGGTAGCAACGGCCTTGGGAGATGGACACCGGTCGTACCAATGGCTGCCACAATACTCTTTCGTTTTCTTCCGAGGATCGTCAATGTACAGTTCTAGATTGTATCTACGATGATCTCTATTTTTATCCCCTCAATAGAGGATACCAAATAAAATACGCTTTAGATGACGACGACTTGAACATAAGGGAGCTTGCTGGTCTCGATACTTCAGCCTGGTCAACTATCATTACTAGCCATCTCAATATCTCCTAACGTCAAAGGGAAACTTCCTGAATCGTCAAACAAGTTCCATTCCGGTTGAAGGTCGTGAAAAAGAGAAAAACTAATAAAAAACCTTGCAAGACCCCGTTATATGAAGGCCAACGATTCAATGGAACTCATGGCATGCTTTCCGAGAGTGGCGTAAAGCTATATATTTCATGCAGCTATCTGGGTTACCAAAGGCTTAGCGCCAACTCTTGTTGCCTCCTCGTTGAGAGCATCAATCTCGGCCTGTACCAAAGGTATGCCCGTCTTTTCCCTCTCCTGCTGTTGCAGCTGCTCGATCTCACCCGGAAAGTATATTCTGTCCACTCCTGCCGCCTTGTCTGACCCAACAACACGCTGATACAAGTAGTCCATCCTTTCGCGGAAGTCGTCGAGACTCATGAAGAGATCTGGCTTGATGGCGACTAGGAAGTGGCCGACGTCCGCTGGTTTTGAAGGGTCGTACGGATTAGTGACGTGACCAGCGAAAGCAGAGCCAGAGAAGACACCAGAAAAGACATCCATCATGATGGCTAATGCCGAACCCTTGGGACCACCCATCGGCAGCATGACTCCTCCCAATGCTGCTGTGGGGTCATCCGTAGGACGGCCCTCTGCATCCAGCGCCCAGTCTAGAGGAATCTTTTCGCCCCTTCTCTTGGCCTTGTAAATCTTGCCTCTAGCCGCAACTGACGGGGCCATGTCCAGGATGAACGGCTTGTCCTTCCCCGGCGCACCACAAGCAATCGGCGAAACACCCATGAGCTTGCTCTGCCCGCCCCACGCCGGGAGCGCGGGACTCGAGTTGGTGAAGACCAGACTCATCATGTCCGCATCAAGAGCCTGCTGCACCACCCACGCACTCATGCCAAAGTGATTGGAATGCGACACACTTGCCATGCCGATGCCGAAAGTCTTGGCAGACTCGATGGCAGCTGCCATACCCATCTCTGCCGCAACGAAACCGAAGCCATTCTTGCCGTCGACGTGCGCCACAACGGGAGTGACTTGCTTCAGCTTGGGCTTCGCTGCAGCGTTGAGCACACCCTGGCGGACACGCTCCATATAGGAAGGAATACGGTTCATGCCGTGGGTGTCGACACCGCGAAGGTCAGCAGCGACGAGGCACCGGGCGACTATTTTTGAGTTTTCTTCGGGTACTCCATTGCCTTTGAGGATGTCTTCAACGAGACGGCGGGCCTCGGAAGCGTTCACTGGTATCTTTTGGGACTCGTCGGCCATCTTGGTGAATGGCTGTGCGGAATTTGAGGCGCAGAATTGCGGAAAAAGTGCCGTGCAAGGTTAAGAGATGATGTGGAGTATTGCACGGCAATATCTGTCGTATGAATGGCTACAGGGTTGATTGGAGACGAGGCACGATTGTCGAACCTAGTATGTCCTCTCCTGATATACCAAGGCAAGTGAATGGCGTCGCGAGGAAGAGAGCAGTGAAGCACACGCATCTGGACGGAATTCAGCCGACGGTGCGGGCAAACCCCGGCCCAACAAACTAACAAAGGATTTGAGGGCGCGGGGTTTCCCCGCACAGCCTGGGGCCACCACCGTCATCCAACTTCATCCTCTGTCCCACCTCGGAGAATTCCCGCCTCGTTCCCTTCAACCTACCCAAACACCATATCGCTCTCCTATCGTTATGACGGAAACCAGCCAAGCACTGGCAATCCCGAAGAACGCAATATGCCCGAAGACACCAGCTCCCGGCCGACACCCCGCCAGGCCCGCAGAACCGCGCGATTGAGGCTCGCTTGCTCTCGGTGCCAGCGGCGAAAGATCCGTGTAAGTGGACCTTCGAGCCCCGTTTGAATTTGGCATGAAGCTGAGTGAATGGGAGGTAGTGCGACGGGCAATTGCCTGCGTGCAACAATTGCAAGAAGGCCGGAGCTGCTTGTACTGATGGCGAAAGTGTCCGTCTTCGGGATCTTCCTAGAGCGTATGGCTGTTCTCAGAACTCCCACCTTGGCACATTTTTCTGACACTTAGCTAGCCAAATTTCGAACTTGATCGAGAGAGTTAAGTGGCTCGAGAGCATTGTAAGGGAAAGATGTCCCGATGTCGACCTGAGTCAAGGTCCCTCTGGAGACTTTGATATGGAATTTGATGGTGATGAAACCTTTGCAAGGGACTCGACAATCAGAGTCAACAGTGCATCGCCCGAGGATAGTCTAAACCTCACAGGGAGTCATCCTCCACAAGCACAGCCGCTTCAAACTTCAGAGCCAGTTCAAGCCACTCAGGCCATCCGCTCAGGACCTCGCTTGGTTGACCCAATTGCCAGCAATACGCTATCACACGAAATCGGGATGGTGTCATTGGGTAGTAGCCAAGACCCGAAGTATATCGGGCCGTCGAGCGGATACTTCCTCGCCCGACTGATGTTGACTTCAAACCGACAGGATGACCAATCTTGGCCAATCAGAACCGGGGTATCGAATCCGTCCATACCAACTGCTCTCGTTGAGGCGATGCATGGCCCAATGTCACTGCCAAGCAGACACCATGCAAGGCAGCTAGCGGATAACTACTTCGACGTAATCAACTGCCAGTTCCCCGTCTTGCATCAGCCTAGCTTCATGGCTTTGATGGATCAGATGTACGAGAACAGGATCGACGTGGAATCTACTCCCACAGCGGCCTTCCAAGTATTTATGGTCCTCGCTTTGGGGTCCACGGTGCTCTCTCGTCGAGTGAGGGCACGCCTTCCCGGAGAGTCATATTGCCTATCTGCGATGCAGAGTTTCGATCGGATCAGCATCGATAGCTCGATTTCAGGATTGCAATGTCTTCTTCTGCTCACGATATTCACGATGCACAGTTCAAACATGCGCCTCAACGTTTGGTATTTGAACTATCAATGCATCGCTGCTGTCCTTGATTTGGGCTTGCAGCGTGACATCAACACTAACGCAGGTATTTCCCTTCTTGAACAAGAAATGAGGACTAGGATATTCTGGGTAGTTTTCACACTGGATAGAATGATCGCAACCATGATGGGACGTCCCATTGGATTGCGAGACGAGGCATGCGATCTTCGGGTATGTCCGCCTTGGTACATGTTCAGCCCGCCAACCAACTCTAACATTCTCTTAGCTTCCACAGCATCTAGAAGATGCCTCCTTGCAAGGATCACTCCAGCCACCTGTCAATCAACCTCCGGGTCACATGGCCTTCTCGATACATCTGTTCCGTCTAGCAAAACTCAACTCAGAGTTCAAGTACGTTGCGAACAGCATTGTCCGCGACACACCACGTTACGCCTACCCGGCGGTCATTGACATAAACGAGTGGCAGCAAGGGATGTTGGAACAGCTAGACGAGTGGTACAGCCAAATCCCCAACACACCAGACTCTGATTACATCCGCACCATCTGTCAGATTCGATGCTACGGTCTGCGGATGCTCGTTCTCCGGCCTAGCCCCGCTATCCCGAATCCATCGCCAGAGATCCTCAAGAAGTGCTTCAAAGCCGCTCTTGAAGTCATCCGTCTCTTTGATCACCTGTATAAAAAGAACTTGCTCATACATACATGGAACACCTGTCACTCAGCAGTCCTCAGCATTATAACTATGTTATACTGTCTGAAGATGGTGCCTGAGATAGCAAAGCAAACGGCTTTGGATGCACTCATGTCTGACTTCAGCGCCGGGCTAGGAGTCCTGGCGGCAACGGGCGAGCACTGGTCTGGAGCAAAACGTTGCCGCGATATTTTGGACGATATGATCCGGGCGACCATCCGATGGGTCAAGGACCTTTCCAGTCAGACCTTTGAGGTGGAACCACCTGCTCAACGTCGATCTCTGCGACTAGATTCTGCGCATTCGCATACAACCAGCTCTTACAACGAGAATGCCAGCCTTGGTGGGACGGAACCTCCACGACTAAATTTCTCGGAAGGCTTTCCCCAACCACTATCAATAAGCTCTGCGACTGAAAGTGGCTCGGAAAGCTTCCTTCATCAAGATCCATTCGAATCGTTTCTCGCCAACACTGCGTTCGGCGATCCGATGCACACGGGCGACAACGCAAATCTGGATAGCATCATGCGAGGTCTGTTTGATGACTTTATACCTACTTACCCGAGCTTCACCTGATAGTTCTGTTTGTGAGCATGTACTATACAAGGTTCAATTGTATCCTAATTGTCTCGGGCTATTGGGAGGGACCATTTGCCGTCAGGAAGTCAAAATCGGCTCCCCCTTCTGCCTGCATGACGGAACGCAGATATAGTCCTCGATAACCGCGAATTCTCTTCTTTGCCACCCAAGGCGCATTACTGCCGCCATTCTCCTCTTCTTTGACTAATGCTTCCTTTTTCTCGGCAATTCTCCTCTCAATCTCCTCGTCGGATATCTCAACTTTGATAAGGCGTTGTTCTGCATCGCATGTTATGATGTCGCCAGTTCTGACGATACCAAGGACCGATTCAGGGTCCGCCGCTTCGGGAGAAATGTGCAGAACAATAGTTCCGCCCGCCGTACCGCTCATGCGGCCGTCAGATAGGCGAAGCATGTCTTCGACTCCCTGAGCTGCGAGCTTCCGGGGAATCGGGATAAGTCCCGCTTCTGGCATACCTGGGTTGCCGACAGGCCCAATGTTTTGGAGTACGAGCACGCTATCGGGCGTCACCTCAAGATCTGGGTCATCGATACGGAGGGCCATGTCTGCGGAGCCAGCGAAGACGACCGCTGGGCCGGAATGCTTCAGTAGTCGGCGATATTTCGACGCACTCTGCTTCGTTACAGCTCCGCCTGGGGCAATGTTACCGCGGAGCACGGCCAAGGCCGAAGCTGGGTATAGAGGATCGTTGAAAGGCTGAAGACAATTGACCAAGCTATCCCGGGGAATAGGGATGAATGGCGTACTTTCCAACTCTTCTCCCAGCGTCTTGCCTGTTACCGTCATGGCGTTCAGATGCAAAAGGGGCTTGAGTTGGTGCAAAAGCGCCAGCATGCCGCCGAAGTTGTGGAAATCGTCCATGTAGTTCTGTCCGCTGGGCTTCAGGTCAACCAACAACGGCGTCTTTCTTCCGATTTCATCAAACGTGTCTAGCGTGATCGTGCCGGCTACAGCAGGGTGACGGCCTATGATGGCCATCATGTGTACAACTGCGTTTGTCGACCCACCAATGGCCTGCAGGACGGTGATTGCGTTGAGGAAAGACTCGCGGGTCAGCAGGTCTTGTGGCTTGAGCTTCTTCTGATGGAGGGCTACAGCTAGGCCTCCAGTCTGCTCGGCGATGCGTAGTCTCGTCGATGAGACTGCTGGGGCCGTGGCACCTTTGAACGGCATCATTCCGAGACCGACAAGGATACAAGCCATCGTCGATGCAGTGCCCATGACACCACAAGTACCTCCCTGTCACGGCGATCAGCAGATGAGACTTCGATTTGAGTGACGAAATACACTTACTGTGGGTGCCAGCTCATCGTTGATAGCTGAGATATCTTCGATATCAATCTTGCCAGCTCTGTAGGCGGCCCAGTTGTTGCGGCAGTCCGTGCAAGCACCAATTCTCACGCCTTTATGGCTTCCCGGCATCATGGGACCAGTGACCAGGTGCAGGATAGGCTTGTTCGCCGATATGCCACCCATCAGCTGTGCAGGAGTTGTCTTATCACAGCCTGCACAACTTAGTCAATACCCATCTCATATTTCAACCTAGTTCAATACAGCTCACGTACCTCCGATGAGGACCACCGCATCACACGGCTGCGCCTTGATCATCTCCTCCGTATCCATGCTCATGAGATTACGCAGATACATGCTTGTCGGTGATGCAAAGCTCTCATGGATACTGATAGTTGGGAAATCAATCGCCAGCCCGCCATTGAGTTGGACGCCGCGTTTCACGGCCTCGATCAGCTGTGGGACGTTTGCATGGCAAGGGTTGAAGCTTGAGTAGGTGTTGACGATGCCAATAATGGGCCTCGAGAGCGCATCTTCACTATACCCAAGAGCCTTAATGAAGACCTTGCGCAGAAACAGCGAGAAGTGAGCATCGCCATAGGACGTCAAACCCTGCCTTAACCCCGCGGCGTTGGGGTCGATGGGTGTCGAGAGGTCATAGTCTCCCGTAACCGGGGCCTTGCCTTCTTCTTTCTTTGGGATTGCTGTTTGTTCGCTCATATTTGCTGTGATTGTGGTGTCTTTGACTGTAGAGAGACGCCTCGAAAGAACGATGTAATGCGACGGCGGGAATTACAATTCCTCATCTTATGGTTGGCCCGAATCAGACTTATCCGGGATGGTGTTGTAGATGCGGGGACTCCGCATGTCGTAATCGCCCGGTCCAATTCGGTAATAAGACGACGGGAGCAAAGCGGCCGCATCGTCTTCGGCGCCGTCGGGATTTCTCCGTCTAAGTGCTCGCGGACAACGGGACCGTTGACGGACATGTCCTCATAGGACCTTGAGATGTGCCTGATGCATAGAACATGTAGATGCATGCATCATTGTTACTTATATCCAGCTTCAAGATGACTTTCTGTTCGGTATCTCAGCATATTCGCCGAAGGCTTCTTCCTGCACCTTGAACATTACCGCCCGCTTTTCCGCTTCACCGGGCCCCTCCTCTTTTCCGCCCCGCCCCGAAACCCATCGCCATGCTCGACCTCCGAGGAAAAGTCGCCCTGGTCATCGGCCTCGGCCAATCAGGCACAGACGGCTGGGGCATCGGCGCCGCCTGCGCCGTGACCTTCGCCGCGCAAGGCGCCGCGATCTTTGGCGGCAACCGCACCGTCGAATCCACCACTAAGACCAAAACCACCATCGAGGAAGCCGGCGGCGTGTGCGACGTCGTCGCGACCGACGCCACGTCCTCCACGTCCGTCAAGGCGCTCGTGGACGCGTGCGTCGCGAAGCACGGCCGCATCGATATCCTGCTCGCCAACGTCGGCGGGTCGCAGCCCGGGTGCGCGGCGAGCATGGGCGAGGAAACGTGGGATGCGCAGGTGGAGTTGAATCTCAAGAGCGTGTACCTTGCGTGCCACCATGTTCTGCCTATCATGGAGGCGCAGGAGGGAGGAGGGAGTATTGTTTGTGTTTCGAGTATTGCGGGCTTGCGGTATATTGGTAAGCCGCAGGTTGCGTATAACACGACCAAGGCGGCTGTGATGCAGTTTGTCAAGGCGACGGCTGTGGTGTATGCGAAGCGAGGGGTGCGGTTGAATACGGTTGTGCCTGGGTTGATGGAGACGCCGTATACGAGGCAGTTGGCGGAGAGGTTTGCTCCCAAGGACGGGGCGCCTGGAGGCGGTGGGTATGAGGCGTTTAAGAGGATGAGGGAGGAGCAGGTGCCGATGGGACGGATGGGGGATGCGTGGGATGTTGCGAATGCGGCGGCGTTTTTGGCGTCTGATGAGGCGAGGTATATCACGGGCCAGAAGATTGTTGTTGATGGGGGGATTACTTCGTCTACCGGGCGTACCTAGAGCTGCAATTCATTATATCATGTATAAGTACTGTATCACTTAAGGCTTCGTCACGTATCGAGAAGTCGGGGTTTACACCTTGAGGGAAGAGTCCTCAGGCCGAAGCCAATCATGACCCTGCCCGTCATCCTCGACCAACGTGAACATCTTACTTCACATACCTGTAGCATATAGAACATCTTTCTCTGTAACGACATTGATGAGAATCTTATGCTTGAGCTTGGATTTCTAACAAGTCTATAATCTAATCACGACATCCAATCTGTACCTTGACGCCATCCCTCCTACGCCGACCCATTCGCCAACCCCTTGGCCATAAACTCGCACATATACTCGTCCTCCTGATCAACTTCAAAGTCAAACCTAGTAACGTCCTCCTTGAACGGCCACAAATATGTACTCGTTACCCTAGAGATTATCAAAATCAGCTTGATCTTTCGACTTTACGATATTCGAAGGCTTTCTGTCCTTTAAGCAAAAAAAAAAAAAAAGGAAAAAAAAAAGGAAAAAAACCGGAACGTGGAGTGGGTGTCGGGGTGAGCTATACCTGTGATGCTCCGGACTAGCTTGATACACCTCCAGTGCTTCACGATCCTGATGGAAGCTCAGCAGCGCAAAGTGGTAGCCTTTGCTTCTCTCGATGGGATCCGTGATGGAGGGACCGCCGACGATGAGGCGTTGGTCTTTGACACAGGGAAGGGATTTGAGGGTCTTGAGTTCGCGGACGAATGTGGATTTGTGGTCTTCCGAGACATCGGGGCGGAACTTGAATAACACTATAAAGAGACTCGGTCAGAATTTGTCTCAAAGGTGTGAGTGAATTAGGAGGTTACCTATGTGGACTATTGTCATTGTAGAGGTGTCTCGAGAGAGCGAAGTAGCGTGAGTAGTTGTCTTTTTTTGCGCGGAAATCCGATTTCGTCTTTGAAAAATGGGTGATCGGGAATTTGAAGCCGTGATACTGAAAGTTTTGAATGTCTAATAATTCAGTCAATGGTCCAGTGGCTGAGTCAATTCCAGACCGAGTTGCGTCGTGCCCGGTGGGAGGACACTAACGGACGAATCCCGCGACATGAACCTACAGGCTCTACGTACTGAACGGACGATCCCCGTCGCAGCGGCTTTGTCGACGGGCCCCCATCCCGTGTCAGTCGTTTTTTTTTTTCTAACGTCAAGGAGATGCTGAATTGTGTATCAAAAAACTCTTGAAGAATAAGAATTTGGTGGCCAAGATGGTTTGAATTGCGCTTCGATATGCCAGGTGTGAGATGATCCGAACCCCCTGCAAGATGAGCACTTCCGCCGCTGCCTCATGCAGCCCCAGATCTTGGAGCAACCATCTCCCTTAGAAGCGCACGAGGTACTGTCATTGTCGACGCCTCAAAGCATTCAACCGGTCAACTCATCATTTATCCACTCTTCCTCCTAGATTACACAGAATCATACTAATCCGACACCCCTCAGTCGAGATGAAACCCCTACACCTTGGTGTCCTTCTCGCTGGAGACCTCGACATGCATCATATCGTCTCCTTTGATATCCTGAACGCTTCTGGAGTCCGTCTCAGTCGTCTTGTACTTTCCCTTCTTGATATCGCGACGCCAAAGGTACTGTCCAAGCATGAAGAGAGTCCACCAGATGGCCACGAAAATGGTATTAACAGTGAACCCTTTCCGCCATTTAGGAGCTAGATGAGAGGGTGTAAGATATCAGCATGGTCTTCCAATTGTTCGATACGGTGATGGTGTTCAGTTACTTACCCTCTAGCTTTGGGAAGACGGTGATTGGGTAGAAGCTGAAGAAAATCCAACCGCAAGTCATCTGAGCACAGATGGTGTTAGGAACGGTTCCGACAATGTTGGTAATGAGGGTAGTGTGGTTTGCTTCCATACCATGGCGCCAGTGGTGAAAGCTCTGGCTTCGTTGTCGTCTTTCATAATCATGTTGATCCAAGGGAAGAAGATCGGGGTGAACTTTGCAAGAAGTAGTAAGCAATCATAATCGTCTTGTTTGACACGTGAGTGAGACTTACGCAACTGGTGAGGCCGAGCATGTAGTAGGCGGCAACTGCGCCTTGATGAGCAAAGAGGTCCTCACGTTGAATCGATACAGTACTTACAGTGCAACCCAGTTGGGATGTCCCAGATCAGGAGACAGACGTTGGCGAAGAAGAGAATGCCCGCCACGACGCACATGACTGCCCAGATGGGGTAGATCATGCACAGCGAAGTGGCAACGACACCGGCCACGATAGAGATTGCTTGGACGCCGGTGGGGATGACGTTGATCTCGGCAACAGTGTACGTGCCGTGTAAGGTAGCCTCGTGCTTGAGCCAGAGTGCCATCTGGCCAGCGACGTAAGAAGTGCATTGGAAGCTAAGCAGGTCATAGTGGCGTCAGTTCCGTACAAAAGCCTGGACAAGATACTGCTTGCAACTTACAAGACGTAGGTGAAGACGGCAAGATAAAAGTGCCAATGAGTGAAGACGCGCTTAAGCATCTTCTTGCCGATCCTCTTACTCTCCTTGACCCCGTCATCTCTCATCCGGGCCTGCGCAAGCTTCTGCTCCGCATCCGTAAGCCACCAGACCTTGGGACTCGTCGGCAACCCAGGGAAGAGGAAGAACCCCGCAATAGAGATGGGCAAGCTGATGATGCCGTCAATGACGAAGAGCCACCGCCAGCCGGTCATGCCGGCGACGCCATTGAGGTTATTGTACGCCGCGGCCTGGAGGTACCCGCCAAACATGGCGCCAATGTTGGACGAGACGTACCACACGCCCGCGCGCTTGAAGAGCTCGTCGCTGCGGTACCACGAGGTCAAGAGATAGATTGCGCCCGTGGCGGCGGGGGTCTCGAGGACGCCGAGGAGGAAGCGGATGCCGTAAATGTCGTATTCGTTGCGGAGCTTGCATTGAACGAAGGTCGTGATGGACCAGAGGCATTCCATTGTGGGGAGGTACCAGCGGGTGAGGTGTGGGCGGGAGATGATCATCATGGAGGGGATCTCGAAGATGAGGTAGCCGATGTTGTAGAACGTTCCGAAGAGTGAGTATCTGGCAGCGTATGTTAGGCACGAAGCAGGGTTATGGTGTTGTTTGAATGGTGGGTTCGCTTACTGGTTTCCTGTGAGCTTCAAGTCCTCTTCCATGCCGGAGACATAGGCGTGGTTGATGTTGGCTGAGTCAAGCCATTTCAAAAAGACTGATCTCATGTTAGTGTTTACACGAATAGACGGGCTATCAGGAGAGTCATACACATCAAACAGCACAGGGAGAGAAGAATGCTGTCTGTTCAGAACCGTCATTAGCTTCTACTCGAACACATGGATAAGTTGAACTATACCGAGCTTCCGAAGCAACTTTTTCTCTTCCTTGGAGTAGTGACTAGGGTACCAGTCGAATATGTAGAGCCAAGCTACCCACAGCGACCTCGTCTGCGGCTTGGGTGTCGACGAGCTCACAACCAGCTCTTGATCTTCGAGAGGCTTCGTCGTAGCAACTGGATTCGCATTTTGAGCACACCTGTCGAGGCTGACTCTGTCCGGCATTTTGGAGACGTATTCAACGCGTAGACTATAGCCAGGTCCCGTGACATGGAGAGGCAGCCTAAGTCGCAAATAGTCGCTGGGCCTGGAGTGATGAGTGAATGAGTCCAGTCGCTCTGAGGATCTCAACTGTCCGAGTGAAGTTCTTGGTGATGTAACCCCATGCTTTATATCACTTAGAAATAAGCCATGATTCTCAGAGACTTCACTTCTATGTTGGCAGGCTGGAGTAGTCCGCCAACAGTAGATAAGCCAAGCAATGTTGTCTTCGATGTCCTCCCCGCAATCCCTACCTCAGTCTGCGCATCCCCGATCCTAAGAGCGGGGTGTGGGGGAATTGCTTGCAGTCGACAGCCGTACTTGGCTAACGACACCTGCTCGGAGGATTGTCCTCGGGGATGAGGGGTATTAATACCCCGACTATTGTATCGCAAATGGGTAGTTCAACACATGATGCATCGCGAGGATATTTCACCGAGACATCAGCCGCGAGACCGATTCAATGGAATGGTTGCCTTCGCTTCCGACGGGCCGTTGGTGTTGATTCATTTGCATCGAGGCCTTGGTGATTATCCATCATGTGATGGCTCGGCTTTCTGAAAGATGTACAAAATGACAACTTCGGTATCAGTTACGTCTACAGTCGGAGCAAAACATTCATCTGGAACCCCAAGTTCGGAGTTCGAAGCAAAAGTGTATTCAGCATGACCGCTTCTGTTATGGAAAGCTTGCCGGCCATGGCAAAGCAAGCCCACTCTCAGGACGCCGCTATGGACAAGTTGTCTACGGTTCCGCGTCACGACAGCATGTCTTCCGAACCACCTCTTTCGATATCAACTCTGACACCAGAAGAGCTGTCTGCAGACAGAACCAGTGAGACCTCATGGTCTGACGCCGCGGTAGAAGCCAACGGATGGCCAACCTCCCAAGCATCAATGCCGCTATCTACTCATCTTACCGAACTGTTCGAAGAGAACATCATGGCCAAAGTCTATCGCACCGCGACAAAGTCCCTCCAAGAGCAGGAACCTTCAACCTCTAAAGAGGTTCAGAAGACTCCGATCGCCTTTCCAGAGATCGTCCCTCAAGACGGCCCCAATGCGGGCCAGTACGAGTTCCGCGACCCAGACTTCTGGACCTGCGGGTTCTTCCCAGGAACGCTCTATGCCTTATTGGAGCGAAGCGTCAAGCACCCGTCAACGATGGGACTCGCCAATGCCGGGTCCGGGCTCAGTGTCGCCACGCTTCGCCAGCATCTGCGGAGGCTATGCAAGATCTGGGCCGATCCCTTGCATGACATGGCCGGTCGGACGGACACGCACGATATCGGCTTCATCATCATGCCAGCACTACAGAGGGACTGGGAGCTGAACGGTGACGAGAAAAGTCTCGCTTCCATCGTCAGGGCTGCGCATTCTCTTGCGACTCGGTATGTCCCAGCCGCTGGAGCTATCCGCAGCTGGGATTGCCTCTTGAAGAAGGACATTGCAGTGACAGACATGGAGACGAATCTCCTTGCCATCATTGATAGCCTATGTAATCTGAACCTCCTATTCTACGCCGCAGCACATACCGGCGACAGAACTCTCGCCGACATCGCCACCACGCACGCCCGTACACTCTTAAATACGCACCTCCGTCCCGAATCCGTGAGTACGCTAGTGAGAAATGGATACAGAGGTCAGCTTTATTCGACGTGCCACGTCGCCAACATCGATCCGGTCACCGGTGATCTCAAATGGCGCTGGACGGCACAGGGGTACGCAAACAATTCCACGTGGGCCCGTGGCCAGGCGTGGGCGATCCTGGGGTATGCCCAGACTTACTACTGGACTCGAGACAGAAGTTTTCTTGAGGCTGCCTTGGGTGCTGCGGAGTACTTTCTGTACCGGCTCGACATGGCGCCGTCATGTGTAGATACACTGGTGGCCGATGAGGAGACGAACTGCTGCTCTCGGGATGGGCGTCGAAAGAAGACAAAGGGCCGAAGGATTCCTCTTTGGGACTTTGATGCCCCGATACAAAATACCGCGGAGCCTCTGCGAGATTCATCGGCCGGGGTGATTGCTGCTAACGGCATGCTGGTGCTGTCACAGGCGCTCAAGGGCATCCAAGAACATGCTTTGGCGCGGCGGTTCCTCGACGCGGCTGTTGAGATCGTCCGAGATACCCTCGACTACTCACTCGCAGACGAAACGGCTCGGTTCATCAGAGCTATCAGCGAGGCGGGGTTGGAAGTGGAAGACGCCATCGCTGGCCGATGTTTCGACGGCATCATCAAGCACGGGACGGCCAATAATAATGAAAATGCTAGACGAAGGTACTGGAATCATAGTCTCGTTTACGGGGATTACTATCTCGTTGAGTTTGGGAACAGGCTTTTGAATATGGGATTAGCGTAGAGTCTTAGTGCTGTTTTCCGATTATAGACCTGGGTTACTTGAAATCAATAGAGACTCTTGCATTTTACCACCCTCCACCGTCGTATTCAGTCTCGAAAATGCCATCATCGTAGCTGATGATCCTGTCCATGTCCATGAATTGTTGATCAAGGAGCATCTGCGAGATATTGCTCAACTCGCCGCTACCGATGCTGCTTCTGTGGTACATAGATGGCTGAGCCATTGGCTCAACTCCGTTCAACCCTAGTCCTGGAGGTGCGAGCATTGTGTTCGGCGTTGGGTTGGAAAATGATGCCGGGTTATTGAGTGGGAGTTGCTGAGCGACAACAATAGTGTCGAGACCGCCCGCAGCAGGCTCAACCTGTGTATCCGCGAGTCGCCTATTTCGCCCACTGGCAGTGATTCCCTCTTGTCTCTCGGTACCACTCCGTCTGAGGTGGGGAGATAATTGAGGCTCCTGAGAAGCAGTGTGATTGATTTCTGTAGTGTAGCCTAGGACGTTGATGTTGAAAGACGTCTCATCGCGGCAACGAGAATGCATCTCTGTGAGCTTTCTCGAATACTTCCCAGCCAGGTTGTCTCTCGCAGGTTCCAAGCTATGCGGACCAGCCCACCGCATCGCCATCTCGTTCATAATCTGAACTAGAGACCAGAACTCAGAAGCCAATTCGGTGCCGAGATCATACCGCCATCGGAGGAGGAGCACTCTGGCAGCCACGTAGATGCAGAACACAAACTGGCTCGAAACAGGCATCGCGGCAGGCGCATGCTTCAGATAATTCTCCGCAATAATGGCAATCTCTACGGCGGCAGTCTGGCACGTATCCACGCTTAGAATACTCGGTAGCCGGGCCTTGAACGGCCACTCCCTCGGCGGGAAGGCAATGAGCTGGTGGAGCAGGATCATTGACGTGTTGTGTGTGACGTGCGCCAGGGTGAGGTTGGGGTCCATCCGTGTCGACTGCCGCGCCATATTGGCCTTCCATTTCTGGGGCAGGAGCATCTTCCAGTGGACCAGACGCAGGTCGAGCTCCTTGAAGCGGGTGAGCCAGCTGCTGATATCGCGTTGGTCTCGCATGTTGATCTTTTGCTGGAGGAAGTAGCTCGTGACCCTGCTGAGGGACTCGGTCGCCTCTATGCAGTAGGCGAAGGCGCCGACGGTGGACATGTCGACGCTGGCGGCCGGTGCCCCCGGCGAGGTGCCGGCGTCGGAGGGTGTGTGGGTTTCTTCTTCTGGGGCACCTGCTTGCAACGTCGGCGCGTAGTGGGACGGGATGAAGGCGATGGGATTCCCGATTCTGCCGGCGGCCTTGTCCCAGATACCAAAATAGGGTGTCACGACTTCGTCTTCTTTGCGCCAGAGGACGCCGTCGCAGGGGAGGCGACAATGTACATCGTCCGAGGTGAGACTTGTGTTCCAGCCCATGGTGACTGAGATGAGTCTATCGAGCTTGAAGACGTTCCAGAAGACCCGGCGCCTCTCTTCGGCTTCGGTCCAGCTTTCTGGGGGAGCGAGCGAGATAAAAGGTTGAGACAGTGATGGCCGGTCCACGTCGTCGTGTTCGACCGTGAGCTGGAGATACTCGACGGTCCGGGTCAGTGAACCAACCAGAGACCATGCTCTTGCAGCCTCGCCACTTCCAATCTGTCTCTATTAGCGTGTGCCGTGCGAGGAAATTCGGATATCGAACCACCTACATCGTTAAATGCGACAATGATGAGAGCTTGGTGGCTCTCCACGTTGAATGTTTTCATCGAGGTCGACACGATCCAATCACGGGTGATGCTTCTTTGCTGGTGCGTGCCGAACAATTTGGTCGCAACATCTTCATCAGATATGAATCTTGACGCAGAAAGGACCATGGCATGTAACACTGCCAGTAAAGGTTTGTCGTCTCCGGGCTCGCGAAGTCGACGGCGGAATCTTGCCTCATGTATAATCGGGATCCACGGATGGATGTGTGCGAAGTAAGCTTTGAGTACAATCTCAAGGTCCTCTTCCTCTGGCAACACAGGCAAAGCCGGACTGGAATCACCCGTGAAGGCAATGTTAATAGGCTCATGATCATCGAGTCGACGCCGCTTGGCTCGGCCTGGTGACTCGGTCTGGGTACGCTGTTCGCTAGATGAGCTTCTGCTTTTAGAGTTGAACTTGTGTAGCTCTTTGGCGAAGAATGCCATGATATTGTATGCATTTGTCTCAATGCCTCCACTGATGCCATTGGCATCCTCTTGAATGGGTGAGTGATTTGACTCGGATTGTCTACATTCTCTTGAGGTATTCTTAGTCCTTTGTTGGTGAACAGTTCTTTCTAACGCATCTGAGACCTTGCTATCAGTAACAATAAAACAAGGGTTACTCGGTATATCGAGACAAACCCAGTCTCCGATGCAGGTTCTCAATGGCTCCAGCCTTCATCCCGGGCTTAGACCGTTTCGACTCGTAGACACAATCGTTTCCTATCATGGGTCAACTCCTGAAAAAGAAAGTTTTCTTCACTGTGGACTAAACAAGGGACCCACCTGTCTTGCGGCACTGCTGACAAGTTGGTACCTCTCGGGAACATCGCAGCTTCCGGCGCCGGCAACAGTTGCAAGCGAGGGCCGCCGCAGCCTCCGAGGCGCCCCCCGAGTCATCGTGGCCCGCATCGGCGGCTTCGCTCTGGTGGCTCAGCTCAGTACCATTATCCATGGTCAGGCATTGGTCGAAAACAGATCATGGCGCAAAGTGTGGGCGTTGGCTCTTGAGAGTTACGCGTGAAGTAGAGCGGAGGCTGGCATAGTTATGATTCCACGGCCAATAGCCCGCGCTGCCGCTCGACATAACCCGAAGACCGAGGCGGCCCCGCACCGTCTTCCCCCGCATTGCACATCGGCGGCTGCATGAGCTGGGGCCGTCCAGGGTTGCGGGGAGAAGGAAGTTGGAAAGCGATGAAAAAGAGAAATTCTTTCACCTGAATAATGCTAGGATTTTCTTCGGCCGAGCGCAATGTAACGTACAGGAATGGGTGACACGCGTCACTCCTTTGCCATGTGGGCGATGACATCTGCGAGACTCCCGCTCAGTCGTAAAACCTCCACTGAGCCTCCGTATCCGGACTTAGGGACTGATTCAGGAGAAGCGCTCGAAGCAACTCGATTGGCATCGTGTTCGCCCTCAGGATCTTATCGTGGAGTTCCTTCTCGCCCATCAACCCCTTGGTCAGCACCTCCTCCCGCAGACCGTGCATCTGCAATGCCCCCAGCATGTATCCGGCCTGGTATAGGGGAGAGTACTCGCCGCCGAACGATCTCGTGACTTCTCCCTCGGCGTTGGATCGCTCGTGGCCGACCCAGTCGACCAGCAAGTCGACGCACTCTTGGGGCGTCATCTCGCCGAGGTGGTACTTGAGGGAGAAGATGATTCTCGCGCATCGGTGCATCCGCCAGAAGAGGGTTCCGATCTTATCTTCGGGGCTCACGAAGAAGTCGCCCCTATTCCAAAAGACAAACTCCCAATACATGGCCCAGCCCTCGACAAAGAAGGGTGTCGAGAAGAGTTCGCGGTACGGATGATGACGCTTACCCATGAAAAGCTGCAAACGATGGCCGGGTATCAATTCATGGCTTCTTTCATGTTAGCAGTGAACAGTTCTCAAGGGAAACACAAGTGAAGGGACTTACAATGCCGTCGCCCGTGAGAAGTGAGGGTTGTTGCCGCGCATCACCATCATCTTGAGATCGTGGTCCATGGCGGCGGTGGGATAAGAGACCCAAAAGGAGGAGCCTCCGAGGAAGAATGGAGACTCCTTTTGACGTTCTGCGTCAATCATAAACATACGCCACGTCTCGCCTGAAAGAAGTCAGCTTGTCGTTCCGCCGAAAGGAGCACGTAGAGCAACTTACCCGCGATTTCTGGGACAGTAACCAAGTCATGCTTCTTCACAAAAGCCATGCCCTCATAGGCCAGCTGGCGTACCATCTCAGGCTGTTGACCGGGCTCAACATATGAATTCTTGACATATTCCTGCGCCGCCTTCCAGTCGTCGCCAAAGCCACCATTAGGAGCCTCAAGACTAGGGAAGTGAAAGTCAGTTTCTGATCCGAGGCAAAGGGCCAGTCGGCTTTACATACCCCGATACGCTTCCATGATTACCTTCCGGTCGAACGGAGCCCACCTTGATGCTGCGTGAAGCCTTCTTCATCTCCTTTTCGCACCAATCGTACTGTTCCTGCGCCAGCTTCAGGAGCTCCTCGGGCGTGTAGGGTATCATTTCCGCTTCGAGCTCAGTGATCAGCCCGGAGCGCCCAATGGGTTCTACTGCAGCACGAATAGATCCGGACCCGTTTTTCTCAATGAGTTTGGTGTCTATCGCCGTCTTGATGCCGGTGAGGGCCTCGTCCAATTCAGTTTTAGGCGCGTCGCACCAGAAGGGGAACAAGGGGTCGTAGGGGGCGTAGAAGCCGTAGGTCTCGTCAACGTGGCCTCGGATTTGGTCAATGGTGCTCATAGCACGTGAAAAAGTCGAGTCATTGGCCTTGATCTCATTGGTTTTGATGGCCTTTGTCGTCGCAATTATCTTCTTTGCTGTCTCGTTTACTATCATGGCCGTTTTCTTGCTGTCGACGGGAACCATGCTTTGACGAGCTTCGCATATCTCGATGAGCGGCTGGATAAATGGCAACACCGGCTTCACCAGTTCGTCTCGCTCACGATCTAGAAGTAGGACGCGTAGATTGCGCCTCAGATAGTTGCGCAGAAGTAAGAAGTCTACCTTGTCCTCTTGGCTGTAGGTATCGAACGGAGCCTTGAACAGACTGTCGAGCTCTTCATTGTAGTATCGTTCTAACCGATGAGACCTCGTGGCTGAGAACTTGATATTGTAGAACTTGTTGAGATTCTTTTCATCCGTGGTGACCCGTGTAATACGCTCCGGCATAGACTCCGAGTTGGTTGTAGCTGCGTGTTGTTCGCGGCCGTCGCTCACGTTAACCCACTCGCCATCCGAGACATCCCCTTGATGAGACCGTGTAACGAGACGATGTGTGGCCATGGCGATGACGTAAAGGTCGTGATTATGTGATAAAGAGAAGTTTCGATTTAATGTGGTAAGATTGAATACCAAGCTGTAGCAACCGGCAGTGATTATTACATTTGAAGAATGCGGGGAAAGCTTCGTTCTTGAAGCAGCAACCGAGACACGAGGCGTGGAGGCGTGAACTCCGGACGGGAGGCCGCGGGGGTCTTATCTCGGCCCCAGTTGCCGAGTTTTGGGAGAGGGAACGTTGCAGCGGCATTCCTTCAGTGGGACCGATAACATCCATAGTGGGAAGGTGCGCTGAAGAGAAGCTTTTTGGAGGCAGCGGGTTCCTTGCACCTTGTTTCCCCTCACCAACAGGCAAGCCAAGCTCATGCACGACTCATTCCCATTTGCGCCAGACTTATTCATGAGAGATCATTTGGAGATTACATTATTTAGCTAAGCAATTGATCTTACTTGGTATAAGCGAATTCGTTGTCAATCCCAAGTGAGTGCATGGAAATGAAAAGCATACTGCTCTAGCACTGGCTCTCGACAGCGATAACCTCACTGACACCAGTCTCAATGCCCTCTCCAGCGCTCTCAACGCGAACAAACTGAGCCGAGCCGGAGAAGGTAGCCTTGGTCTCGAAGCCAGTCTTCTCAACAGAAGCCTTCTCATTCAGCGTATCCTCCGAAGCGCCGGCGAACACGGTCCACTTGTTGTTCTCTGTCGCGCCGTTCCAGCTCATGTACACCTCGGTCTGGTTGCCGGCGTCGCAAGCGAAAGCTTTGGGCGCGTAGTAGGGCTTACCGACCCAGGGGTAGCGGTGGTTGCGGTAGCTCTGGACGATCTTGTCCTCGCCAAACTGTGCGGTGAAGACGCACTCACCCTTAGTGTTGAACTCCTTGATCTTGGGCGTGCTGCCGTAGCCGATGACGGTGTGTCCGCTACCGTCGTTGAGGACCTGGACATTACCCTGGGAGACGGCAAAGATTGTGTCGTTAGGGTCGATGAGCTCCTGCTTGAGGGTGGCCTCCCAGGTGGCGGTGTTGACGGTGAGGAAGATGCCCGAGGTCTCGTTGACGCCGCTGCGGATGCCGCTGTTGTCGTTGTTGAAGAGGGAGATGAGGGCGGTGCCGTTGCCCTCTGCGTGGATGCGGGCGTCGTGCTGGTAGCAGAAAGACAGGCCGTTCTTGAGGGCGAAGGAGCCACCGGTTTGGCCCTTTGGCATTGTTAGCTGGAGTTCGTGTTTAAGCAAAAGCAGAGTAGGTACTTACGTTCAGGGTCCACTCAACAGATCCATCCTTGGCGATCTTGAAGATGGAGCAATAGTGGCGGGAGGAGATGAGGAAACCACCATCGGCGAATCTCTCGATGGAGTTGATGTGGAAAGGTCCCCAGGGGTAGGTCTGGTTGAGTCCAAGGTCTTCCAAGGGGTAAGTAGGGGCAGCAGAAGCTAGAGAGATCTCGTCCAAGTGGTCCAGATGGCTCCACTGGAAGAGAATCTCGTTCGTCTTGATGTCGATCTCGAAGAAGAGTGAGTCAACGATCCAGCCATCAACAGGGCCGCCGACGGAGGTTAGGTCCGTCTGGGTAACGTTCACAGCAGGGGCAAACATGGTGCCCTCGGGGGTGATGTAGTCCTCGTGCATGTCCAGCCAGCTGCCGCCGGTGAGACCGGACGAGTCCCAGCCGGTAAAGGTCTGGAGGTTCAGGCCGTTGGCGTACTGGTCCAGAGTAACATTGTAAATGTTCTTATAAGTCTGGTCGTAGATGAAGACAGCTCCGTATCCGAAGCCGTAGGGTTCCGGCATCGTGATTCCGGTGTAGAATGTGAGGACAGGCTCTCCGAAGAGGGTCTGGGCGCGCCATGCGGAGATGTCGCCGTAAGGGCCCTCCCAGATCAGCTCATTCTCGTTGCTCATGATGAAGACGGAGTAGTTGTGGCCGCCGGAGCCGGACTGGTCAAAGAAGAGGTGACCCTCGGCGATGTCGCCGGTCTGGGTGATCTTCAGAGAAGGGGGCTGCAGAGCAGGCTCGGAGCGGTAGGTCTGCCACGGCCAGGGGTTGGTGGTGCTATTCTGGGCCGCGGCGGCCTGGCTCAGACCGAGCAAGGCGCTGGCTTTGAGAAGGGAGGTAGAGCGGACCATGGTGACTGTAGGCTGAGGGGTATGATTGACAGGAAGCGAGGCCTTGAGAAACAGAACAAAGCAGACTCAAAGGGAGGAGTGCCGTCGAGCCTTTTGTACTCTGTAGTTCACATATCTTCAACGGCGTTCCTGTGTTTCCCGACATCGGTCGATCGAGTCTAGCTTCACGTCCGATTTTTTCTTTAACAAACGCTGTAGACTTCCCTCGCCCCTGCCATGGTACCAAGGTTTCGACCGTTTACCTCACGATCTTGCATGGTGTGTGGGTCTTTTCCGAGAAGTACGCCGGCTGTACTTGAGAGATCATCGTCATTCGTCTCCATCCAACGGCCATCAAGGATCTGATAAGATGAGATTGATAAAATTCATCACCACCAAATTCCCTCAAAGTGCCGGCTTGTGGGGGATCTTCGTATGTTTTTGGTTGCATCGGGTCCCATTCTATCAATCAACGAATCCACCGTGGAGGCTTATTTACTAAAATTTCCACAACCTTGAGGAGTCAGCCCGCATCGGTATTCGGTGATCGGTGCCGTTTACAGAAAGTGAGATCCGACTTCCGTTGAAGCCAATTATATGTCTAAGGGTGGCTAGCAAGCTGCAAGAACCTGACTAATGGTATCTAGAAGTATTCTTTTATTCGAACAACTTCATTACTTCAAATGCTTGTTACGAATCTGCAAAGTTCAAGAACAAAGAACGTCAGAGAACCTGAAGTTGAATACCCCAGGATTCTGCGAGAGAGTGGGCAACAAATGCCGCTGCCAAGTAAGTGCCAAGTTGAGTCGGACTTTTCCCGACGGGCGGGACGGAAAGTAGTTAAGCATGGATAGTGGTGGATCCTAGTTCAAGTTCCTACCTTACTAGCCCCGGGACCAAGCTCGTTCTTGGGCAGTCAATTCTCGGGGATCGAGGTGGATCAACGGTCTTCGGTTTCGCTCGTTCACAGACTAATAGCCGACTGCCGGATCCTCTTTCACGATGGTGTTGAGCTATCTATGCTATCTATGACGTCCGGTGCAGACGAGAATCGCAACTCGAGTATGAAGAAAGACAAAATCACTGCGAACGAATTCCGCGGCCAGAAGTGGTCGAAAGTATTGCATCAATTGGGCAATTTGTGTTAAAGCAACAAGATAATCTCAAGGTCTTCAGAGCGGATTAGTGCAGACTTTCTCCAATGCTTGATAACAAAATGGGGTAGTTGGCAAGCCTATCATGCGCGCGTCAAGTCTTAACTACTCTGATAGCAACATAAGCCAGAATGGCATCTGCATATGAGTGTTCCAGAACAAGCCATGCAAGGTCGAAAATAAGCTTATCCTCTGTGTTGGGACAACCACATGGCGTGCTTGGTCCACTGTATGGCGCAATGTAGGGCTCGATGCATTCCGGGGCAACGGCATATGTCTATGAGCTTAGAAGCAATTTACAACTTGAGTCATGCCTAAACCGGTGTAGGTTGCAGAGATTATACAGTACAGCGAATAGCTTTCATTACTCGAGCAAAGATCATGATACTTTGTGGGTATTCAAGTGAGGTCTTCACATCAATGTATAGAAATGGATAATGTTTGCGCAAACTCATGCCACAGTTCTAATCTGATCATCAACTTTCACTGCCAATTCTGTGACGCGACCAGGCTTTGGTGATGAGTTAAGCACGAGCGTAAGAAGTCCGTTGCAATTTGTTGTGCCTGCCCACTAACCACTATCCTATCACTCGAAGTTATCACAAGTCTATAAACGCCTCATCTTTCAAAACTACCTTTGCACGATACCGGCCAACTTCTAAGCAATCTTTTCCACATCGAGATGGAAATCGCCATCACGTCTCATGATGCAACTTTCACCTTCCTTGGCCCAATCAGAGTCCCGACACAGAAGTGCAGAAGCATGACTCTCGCACTCCTGTCTGGGGTTACAGTTGCCCTCGGCACAACATGTCCACTTAGCCTCAACGTGCGCGTTGCCAGACGGTGCAGTCGACTGAATAGTGGACTTCTTGCCCGACTTTGACACAATCTGAGGCTTTCCCGTGCCGGAGCAGCTCTTACACTGGATGCGCGAGTTGGTTTCCAGCTCCATGATGTGCTTCGAAGCGACCTGCGAGAGGACGAGTTGGAACTTGTGATGCTCGAGCAGGTCGGGGCAGTTCCTAGGGACGGAGGACATGACGGGGAGGTCCATGAAAAAGCGGTCGCTGACGTAGCCGAGGTCAAGGGCCTGGCCGCAGAGGACGAAGGCTATTTCAGGATGGGGAATCAGACGCATCTGAGGCTTCCGGAGGCCGTTATTGTAAACGTTTGAGCAGTTTTGCTCGCAACAGACGATCAGGATTTCGACCTTTTGACACATTTTTGCTTCTTGATGGAAGGGAGCGTGGATGCTTGAGATGACTCGGCTTTGGTGCGTAGTTGTCTTGATAGATTTGACGGTCGGGACACTGACACTTTTTGTGAGACGATGAGAGTCGAATTGAGACCTGTCGAATACTGATTAAAGTTGGGAGTTGAAGACGTATTGATTATGAGAGAGTCCTGTTGCTCAACCAGCCAGATATATAGGCAATATACTCAAGCGCTTATGTTGCCTGTTCAGTTGTTCATATGAAAGGACAGGCGAGGCAGCACAACCGCTTGCGGTCTCAGAGTACCTACTTGGTCGAGTCGCCTAGAACAACGAGACTTCTGGGAGACAACCACAATGTTTTCGGACTCGACGAGAACAATCAAGTATCGGGTCGACATCGGACAAATCCTTTATTGAATCAAGATCCTGGTTCGACATTCCCACATGAAAACTTGAAGGGGCATTTTTTACAACTTGATTCCTATCTAAAAATGATCGAAGCTACTGGGTGAAAAAAAGGAAGTTGAAGACTTGGATAAAGAGAGTGAGAATTCCCTCAGCTGGAGAGATCAAAGGCTTCTTGCTTCGTATGTGTCCACCGTAACGCGGTGTCATTCAAGACCATACATGAGTTTACAAAGAGACTCCAGTACCTTTATGAGGTCTCGCATCTACTAACTTAATACCACGATACCTACTCTTACAAACCTGGCCATTCAGTTCAACTGTCACGTGCCAAGCTCTATATTTTGTCTAATGTAAAGTCCTATAAAGGATTCTCGTGATCCATTCGAGCCTTTCCTTCGTGTTTGTATGCTCAAATCTTTCTTTCATCCATAACGTATTCTGTAATTGGGAGCGAACGCAGGCTTTTCCATGAGTTGAAGATATTCGCCCTGCAGACATCTATACTATGATTACATTCCTTCAGGCTTCTTTGGATCCGCATATGAACTTTGTTCATTTATCCATTTGACTCATGCAATAATGTCATCGATACTCAAGACATACTGAGAAAGGGACGAATAATGATAATCAACTCAAGCCACGAACTATCAGGAAGACGAGAAACGAAAGCAAATCCGTACAGACTTAACAGGGAATCCGCAGTTAACAAGGAATCCGCAGTTAACAAGTCCACCCACAGTGCAGATTCTCAAGGCCAAATATTCCGGCTTTGCTGTTTCAGAGAGTAGTTTAGGTAACGGGCTTCATAGGGGCTGTTGTGATTGAGCATCGACTTCTCTGACCTTGATTAGGCAAACGTGCGTGCAGCGAATTCATCTTCGAAAACTTGATCAACAGTTGCCAATGTACGCAACCAGTCTTGTAGCCGAACTCACAACCAAGTTCCATTGTTCTGAAGAGGACTCGAGCCATGTCATACATGTACGTGCAAGGGGCCTAAGGTGCCGTGTCGTCATGCCCTTGGCTGGCTTTCAAGAACGCCCCTGGCGGACAGCTATTCTGGTGTCTAAACTTCCAAAGTCAAGGCAGGCATGGCAGGGATCCTCACTCATGTATTCACGCATAATGAAATTTGATTCGCAGAACAAACAGCTGTTGGAACTTTGGGCCACTCACGCCACTGTGCTTGCTTTTTCCTATTACCGGTACCTGCAGCAAGGAATTAGCATACGAAGCGCCAACAAATAGGATTGAGGGAACCAAAGTCCCATTGGAGAAGAAAGAAAAAACATGAGCAATGCAAGGATCGAGATCCCGGCGCGGACCACCGCGCCGTATTCGCCCGTTCGAGACCGGCGGACTACCGTCAAAGGGGCGGTGCAGTCTTTACGAACCTGAGGATTATTTTTGGCGCGTCTTAGTGTGTTGAGCTACGTTTTCATCAAGGATTCAGGAAGGGAAAAAAAGCTTTTTCCTCATGGAACGATGGATGGATCTGCGACAAAAAAATCTGACCGGAACGGCTGCAACGGCATCTCAATGGGCCATCGATGAGACATACCAAACAGCCACAGCATCGCAGAGCCGTTGGGATCGGGCATTTGTAGGATGGCCTTAATGACCGCTAGGGCGGCTTCCGAGATGAGGTGGCGTAAGAGTCCCGTCTCAGACCCCGCTTAGCTCCGTCCAGGGGCGTTGTTTAGACCCGGGGTCAAGGCAGCCGTTATTGAGAACTTGGAGTCGCCTGGACATACAAAAGTCTGCGAGGAAAGGATTTATTGACAACATTAAATGTTCTTGTTTCCTCCCTCTTTCCATCCTTAATACCGGCCATAGACTTCGACGCCTTCACTCGCCCTCGGGTCATTACATTCGTTCATAATCAACACAATCGTTCGAACTGCTCTTATATCGCTACCAGAGCTATTACAGCATCATAATACCCAACTACATCAAAACAGCACCAACACAAACATAACATCAAAATGTCTTTCAGATATATCACCTCCCTCGCCATCATGGCCACCGCCGTCCTGGCAAAGACCGACCTCGCCGGCTGCGTCTCCTCAGACTCCGTCGTCACGCCCACCCAGGGCGGCACACCCTACGCAACCCGTGTCTGGTACGTCCCCGGCACCGGCGAGATCTGCGCGGCCCTCGACTGCGGCGGCGGTCGCGCCCCTCCCAAGACCACCGTCCCCGGCTGCCCTTCCTACGAGGGCACCGAGACCTACTCGCCCTCCTTCCTGCCCCTGCAGACCAGTGCCGCGCCCATGGTCTCGACGACCGTGGCACCCATCACCACCACTGCTGCTCTTGAGACTACCGCCAGCGCCTCTGACAGCGCCTCTGTTGCCACCGTAACCACGTCGACGGACTCTGCCGCTGTTGAGAGTGAGACGTCTGCGTCTGCCACAGCTGTTGTTGTCATTACCTCGAGCGGCTTCAGCAATGCTACCATGACTACCCTGACGACTACTGCTGCATCGGGATCTGGAAGCCAGTCTGCCCGTAGCACGCGGGCTGTCGGTTCTGCTGCGACTTCAGCTGCCACTACCAACAGCCCCAACGCTGCCGTTCCTACTGGCGCATCTCGCGAGCTGTTTGGCCTGGTGGCTGGTGTTGCGATCGGCGCTGCCTTGTTGTAAAGCGTATGAAGATACATGTATATATAGACGTGGCACGAATAGACCTCCGCAGCTGATGCTGTGAAGCTGGTCATGACTTGGACTTATAGGACTCAATATCGTAATGCTGTAATAGACAATGTATAACTTTCTCATGATTACATGTGTTCTGCCCTTCAGTATCTGGAACTCGAGTCCTAACTTGATTATAAGTACATTCTAAACGTTCGTTGCAAGGAAGCGAAATTCGGCTCACCTCCTTTCACTATTGAGACAATGGCCGTGTCATTGCTCTGGTGACTGGCATTAACATCCAACATGCTACGGCATCTCGAACAGGTGAAAGGAAACTGCTGAGCTAAATGTGAAGTATTGGTTGTCATTCTGTCAAGCGTCAAAAGGCGAACTTCATCCACCAGCAATCTCATTAATCGAACTCTTCAACGCCTTCGACTTGCCTCCAGTCGCCAAAACACCAACAAAAAGACTTGCGGCCCCCTTCCATGCGTAGGCCAGACCTACCACGGAACCTGCATAAACTCCCACAATGTCGGGCCATGAGACCGCCTACACAGATTGATCCTGTCCGGACAAACGCAAAGCTGCATCATAGTATGCGTCCAATACGGCGACAGCAACTGGTAGCCCCCATCGGGATGCTGTCTGGGAATCCACGATTCCCACTCCCTCATTTCCCCGGCCCATGCACCCACGTCGCTCTTGCTGTCGTGACCAATGAACTTTCCCCAGCTTTTGTTTAAAAACCCGAAATACCCTTGCTTCTCGACGCAATACCACATGGTGGCGGGATCGCGGACGCCTTGGAGGTCCATGAGGACTGGCCTGTCATCGACCATGGTGATGGCTTTACCCGTCTCTTTTTCGATGATGTAGAAGTGCTTGCCGGGCCACGGTATGTCGCTTACATGATCGTCCTCGACATCTTCGCCTGCTACGGATGTCGTTGCGGGCGTCAAGATTGGGGTGTGGAACTCTGAAGCCGTATCAGAGCCTGTGTCGTCGTGCTTGTCTTGGGAGGCCATGATGGCTTGGCGTTGGCTAATGACGATGGCGCATCCAATAATCAAAAATGGAGTGAGCCGATGACTTTGCCGACTGAGATTGAAGGGTTCACAGGGATCTAGATATAGAGAAGCTGTCGTTGGTATTCACTGAGATGAAGGCGAATTAACTGTACCATACGGTGATGAGATGAGTGCGTCAAGGTAGCATGACGTGCGCCACATGAGTTGTTCCGCTGACGGAACGGAAGCTCAGTATTGCTTCTCATTGGTTGGGCTGTCTCAGTTTCCAGTGGGTCAATCGAGGTTAGCTCGCTGAAGGCCTCCAGCACTTGGGTCAAGCTGGTGTCTTACAACGACAGACTCATAGCCATGTTTGCATTCTTGATTTGTTTCTGACTCTAGACATCCTGGAATGGTACAGAATCGAGCGCACGGCAGCCACTGTCGTCCTGATATTGCGATCATGAGGCCATCTTCATCCAACGAGCGAGAATGATTATCACAGACCTTGGTGGAGTCTATGCAACATCCAGCTCCCTAAGAAAGTACACCCTCTCGTACCCATCCTCCGTCCTCCGCTCTGTCTCGACGAATCCCATCTTGGGGTACAAAATGAGGTTTTCATACATTTTGACGTTGGTGAAGAGTTGGAGAGATGTGCACTCTGAAGCTCGAGCCACATCCTCGGCGCATTTCAGCAAGACTCGGCCGTATCCGCGGCCTTGAGCCTCTGGGGCAACGACAAGGTTGTTGATATGCAGTGCACTCGCTGAAGGTTCATGGCGAAGGAGAATGGCGCCAGCTACTGTATCATTCTCGTCGTCGTGGAGTACGTAAACCAGCTGCGTCTTGATGAGCTCGTGATAGTCGGCTTTCATGGGTGCTGGTTCCTTGCCGATACGGTCGATGTATTTGGAGTACGCAGCTCTGGTCATGGATTGAATGTGAGGTACATGTTCCGTATTGGCTCTCGCAAGAGTGCAGCCTTCATGAGAGGAGATTGGTTCGAATTGTTGTTCGGCCATGGCACAAGATTGATAAAATATAAAGTCGATTTGTAGATAATTCAGTTCATCATTTTATCCCATCTTACAAGATGTTGCATTTCGTTAGTCACTTCTGGTGACTCTCACTTGCTGTAAGGTAAAATGGAAGGTGTATTTCCGTATTGGGCCAATGACGAGATAACGCCGATAGTGGAGAGCTCTGACCCCACCGGCCAATCGGAGAGGGCGACATGCGATAAGATAACAAATCAGACGAAAAAGTCCGCCGTCGGAGAAATCATTCACGACACCCGTCGCATCCTGACCCGCTGTAGCCACCCAAGCATCACCAAAATCGCATCTCGAGCCTGGTTTTTCACCATCCACGTCAACCACCACCCAGCGAACCCACATCGAACAGTCGCGTCTTAAAGCTCTCAGCTTCTAGCCAACCATCGCACGACCTCCCGACCGCACATCACAAATTTCACAATGGACCATACCCGCGATCCCTGCCCCTGGGTCATCCTCAATGGTAACGCGCTTAGCCGACCATCATCACCCCCTAGGAGCCCAAAACTAACGATACTGTAGACTTTGGCGGTGCTTTTGCTATGGGAGGTGAGTAATATAACCACTTGCAATCACGATATCGATACCCTTCTCGGATCTCGGATCCACCTCGTTTTCGAACCTCGATCTCCCGAATCGATCAACTTTGCCACGACTCTTGCATTCTGACACACATCTAGCTATCGGTGGAACGGTATGGCACGGTATCAAGGGTTACCGCAACTCGCCCTATGGTATTGACTGCCCCTCTGCGCGATCTCGGAGATGATGATTACTAACAGCGCATCAGGTGAGAGAAGAATCGGTGCCATCTCAGCCATCAAGATGCGCGCTCCCGTACTGGGAGGAAACTTTGGAGGTAAGCATACGACTCTCTGGGAGACTTTTGATCTCGTGGACAACGCTAATACAATATTCTCTAGTTTGGGGAGGTCTTTTCTCGTGAGTGAACTCCTTTATCGATACTCGAAATCTCGACCTTGAATGCCAAGCCATTACAAATTCTCCTGGCGATCTTGAGTAACTTACTGACTGAAATGATGTAAAACAGAACATTTGACTGCTCCGTAAAAAGTACGAACCGTCTCCTCAAACTCTATAAAGCTATAAGATACGACGGGATATTGCTAGGCCTCGCACTGCCGAAAATGGTGTTGCTACACGGCGCGTTAGCTTGAGCTGTCACCTCGAAACGCCAGGGTTCGCAGGGCTAGCAATCTCCCTCTGCATCTTGTGGCACGATAAATCTATGTCTCGGACGCTAATATTTTACGTGCAGGTCTTCGTGGACACAAGGAGGATCCTTGGAACAGTATCGCCGCTGGGTTTCTCACAGGTGGTGCGCTAGCCATCCGTGGAGGATATAAGGTAAGCCTTGTTGTTTATCCGGCCCATTCCTACCCGTCACTAACTTGGTTTTTCAGGCCGCCCGAAACGGTGCCATTGGTTGCGCGCTTCTTCTTGCCGTCATCGAGGGTGTCGGTATCGGTTTCCAGAAGATGTTCGCCGGCAGCACGAAGCTGGAGGTGAGTTGAAACGGTCGCAGGCGCTTGACCAGCGAAGCGAAGCTGACAATTTCTATGATAGATGCCGGCGCCTCCTCCTTCCGACGAGAGAGCTCTTGCATAAACGATCGATCCTTCACGAAGCATCCATTTTACCGACGAACGGCGGGTGATCGAGGCGACCGCCTTGCCGACAAAAAGAATAACTCGGACCCCTCTCAACTCCTCAACGCTCGAAGCCTGTTTTTTGTCCTTTTGACGAGGGCTCGACAATTTGTTTTCCACATCACAAGGGAGCGAAGCAATTCGATCCTATTTTTGTAATCCATTGAAAAAACCGCAACATCGGAGAGGGTGGCGTTATATGTAGAATAGGGGCAAAAAGTTTGCTACCAGTCACTGGAGACTGGAGACTGGACTAGAGACGAGGAGCGGACGGCCATCTTGATCTCCAAGGGTAATTCAAGCCACGAAAGACGAAAGGCGTGTGGGAACGGCTTCCATCTAGGCAGCATGGTCAGGGGCAAAACCTGCATTTGTTCTCGGTCCGGCTGGGGTTTTGGATCCGGGAAGAGCGACAGTCTCTTCTCCCTTTTTTGACACGAGTACTGAAACTGTGTGGGATAGAGGTGTTCATAATTGTACCATCAACTCGCTGATTTCTTCTCAAAATCTTGGTTCTATACCACATCTTGAATTTCTCCGACTGACTCTAGGACATTTCTATCTGGAAATCCCGTATCCGGTTTCGCGCTCACCACTTCTCAGAATACTCCCTCACATCAACCCCCTCAACACCATCCCGATAAATCTTGGCATACGCCTTGCCATCATCGGCAATCCAAGCCCTGTACATCCCATTACAGTTGAAATCCTGCAGAATCTCTGACCGCACACCCACCACTTCCCCTCCCTCGTTCCTCGTAACCGCAACCTCGATCCCAATGATACCGCCCTCGCCCTCGCCGGTCACCTTCCACCGCGGACCCGCGCTGCTCTGCAACTCCCCGCCCGGACCAGAAACAAACGACACGGCATCAGCCCCGGAAAGCGGCTTCCACCGCGCCACGGCGCCGACTGTCCGGCCGGCGGCGACGCGCATGAAGGAGTCCCCGTTACCCGTCCCGGAGGCAGCGATCGCCCTCGTCGTCTTGACGCCCTTGCGCAGACTGGCTTCGCCGCCAGGTACGGGGGAATAGGTCCTCAGCGAGGGAAGGCAGTCCGCCATCAACCCCTTTAAACTTTCACCCAACACAAGGAACCCATCCCCAGCACCACCAGCACCAGCACCAGCACCAGCACGCGCAAACGCCCCCGTCGGATCCCCCTCCTCAACCCACTCCTCAGCCCAGAACCCGGCCCCGACGACAGGCGTATCCCCGATGCGGCCCGTCAACTTGTTCGTCAGCCCGCCGGTGCTCGTAGCCGCGCAGACGACGCCATCCTCGTCTAGCGCCACGGCGCCGACGGTGCCTTGCGGAAGGAACTCTGTCGTGCTGTACGTGCTCGACCCCTGGCCTGCCTTTTCTCTCTCAAGGGCGCGGATGTGTTCGTCCCACCGCCGTTGGGTGAAGAAGTACTCCTTAGATACTAAGCCCAGACCGTACTTCTTGGCGAGGGTCTCTGCTGTTGCGCCGTGGAGGAGGGTGTGGCCTTGCGCTGAGGGGGCGTCGATGCCAGCAGAAGCACCATCTTCACCACCATTGCCAGCAGCAGCAGCAGCAGTAGTAGTCAAAGAGGAAGAAGAAGGATGACTACTCTCCGGGTTCCCACCCAAATCCTCATCCCCGTGCTCCAAAATCGCTTTCGCCAACAAAATGGGGTTCCGGACGTGTCGTAACCCCGTGACGCCGACCCCGCGCTTCGCGAAGCCGCGGGAGACCATGACGGAGGCTTCGAGCTCGTTGATGCCGTCGCGGGTGAAGACTGCGCCGTGGCCGCTGTTGAAGAGGGGGTTATTCTCCAGGAGGGTGACGGCATGGGTTGCTGTTTCTAGGGCTGAGGGGAGGGTGCCTGTGGTGCTGGCAAGAGAGGGTGTGCTTTGGTAGGCGTTTGTCTTGCTGACCTGTGTTGTGTGAGTGACATGTTTGAGGGGAGTTGAAGTGCTATTGATGATAGTTTTGGGGGGGGCTTCTGTGGGATCTCTGACTAGGAAGGGGGTGAGAATTCGTGATGTTCGAACTTACAATCGTCAGCAAGGCGTGGCGGTACTCAGCGTACTCTGGCGGCTGCAGATTCGACGGCTTGATGTTGCCCGCGCCGCCGTGAATGATGAGGCGCGGCTTCACCTTTACGGCGGCCGGAGACTGACGCTTGTACTCCATCTTTCTAACTTCTTTCTCTCTTGTACTATCGTCTCTCATATCCCGAGTCAATCGCAAACAACTAACAATACTGATTATTTCTTGTGAGTCCAAGGCATGAGATGGTTTGTTATGCAAGTCAAGTGCCGTCTCAAGTGAGACGTGGAGTGGGAGAGAGTCATCGTCAATGATAAGATAAGACGCCGAACCGGCAAGCCGAATGGGGAAGCTCCAACGGCCGACGCTCGGCTCCAGCTTGCCGATGGTCGGGATCACGTCAACGGAGGGGTTGGAAGTGCCATATTTGCCGTTTTATAAACGAGTCAGGTGCAGCACATCACCGACAGAGGTACTCTCACCGAATGAATCACTGGTGAATAGTGCAAGGTCTAGAAATGCTTTGATTTTTGGGGTATCCCTCTACTTTTCTGTTTGTTTGTACAATGTGTCATTGGACATGCCGCTGCCCAGTACCCAAAACGCCTCCCGAATAATACTGTAGATAGCGCCCAGAATGCCTTTCCATCTACAAACGAGCAAACACGGACCCGATGATTTCCCGGCTCTTAAGGAGGTTCAAGACCCTCAGCCTCTCATTGTCCAAGTGCGCTGAATCCGACGACTGTCCGCAAGGGAGATGCGCAGCCGGGGCACCGAATTCCTTCTCCAGGAACCGGATTGCGGGAATGGAGCCACCTTCACGGATATACAGAGGCTTCTTTGGCTTCTGCGTATTCGTGTCCGTCATCTCCCCCGGCTCCGCCCCTGTACCGTCACCCGCAAACACGGACGACCACGACTGCATAATAGCCTCCTCGAGCGTCTGGAAAATGGCGTTCGTGGGATCGCCCAGCCACGGCTCGGCCTTGTTATCAATCTTGATGGTCAGCGAGTTCTTTGACTCGAGCTGCGCGAACTCGCTCTCGAGGTACGAGCCCAGCGAGGCAATGACATCGTTAACCTCCTGGCCCGGCACCAGACGCAAGCTGATGTTAGCACTCGCGTGGCTGCTGACCAGGCTGCCGTCCGGTCCTGACACCTTGTATCGGTGGATCGTCAAGTTGGGTTCCCTCCAGCGCGCCATCAGCGCGGCCTTGAGCTTGTCGGCGGGCCCCTTTTCTGGGTTCTGGCGCATGAGCGTAGACGCAATGTCATCATAGCGCGTCTCCTCCTCGGCTGTGACGGGGAGGATATCGTCGTAGAAGCCGGGGATGAGCACCTTGTTACCGGGGCCCTTCAGCTTTGACAGCGTGGAGGTCAGGTCCGAGAGGGGCTCGTCGTTCATATAGGAGCCGTCTACACCAGAATGCTGGTCGGGCAGATGGGAATCGACGCAGACAGTGGCGTGCAGGACGCCGCGCAGACCGTAGGTCAGGCAGGGGACCTCGTCGTCGAGCCAGTAACTGTTGGCCAGCAGGATATAGTCGACATCGCCGATGAGGTCCTTGTTTTTGCGAACAATCTCCCTGAATCCGCGAGAAGCCGATTCTTCTTCTCCTTCGATCAGAAAGATCACGTCGTTGGCAAGTTTCTTGGCTTGCAGCAAATCCGTCACAGCGAACAACGCAGCCATGATCGGGCCTTTGTTGTCACTGACGCCTCTGCCGTAGAGATATCCATTGACACCCTTCATTTGGAATGGGTCCGTCTCCCACTTGCCCTTCTTGGTATCTGCTGGGACGACATCGTAATGACCATAGAACAGAACCTTCCTCCGCTTCTCGGCCGGCTCCAGAACGCCATCAAACTTGGCGAGAACAACGGGGTTGTGGGGACTGCTCTCCGTGCTCAGCATCTCAACATGACCGCCAAGCCTCTTGAACAAGGACCCGAGAAATGTTGCACCTCTTCGGCAGTCCTCTGCGAACTCTGGCCGGGATGACACCGTCCGGTAGGACACAAACTCTCCTAGTGTTTTAATCATGACGTCGTTGGCTTCCTCTACCTCCTTTTGTTGGTCCTCGTAAGACGAGCAGTCAATGTTCCAGATGCTAACATCATCGTCGTTACCGCCGGTGATGTAGTACTGTCTGTTGTTGTATGTTGTCACTGCTGATGAGAGAATCTTGCCCTCGTGGGCCTTCCAGCGCGCCACACACTGGTACTTTTGGCTAATGTTCGCGACCTGCTTGTCTTGGTACTGGCCGTAGTGGGCCGTGGTATGTTTCTAAGGGTTGTCAGCAATGAACAAATTGAGGAAACCAAAGACCTTACACTTGCAGAACCAGAGCGAGAGGCGCTCAGGAGATAGCCCCAGCCCATCTGTAGTGTCATCACGTCGCCCCTGTGACCCTTAATCACTCTCAACTTGGACTTTGTGTCGAGGTCCCACAGCTCAATGACTCCTTGCAGCTTGCCGGCATACAAAAATGAACCGTCAATCGCAAGAGACATGATTGATTCCGCATCATCAGTGCCCAGTGACATAAGCTCTTGCAGGCCAGGTTCGCGGTCGTTATCAGCCGCCTGATCGTCTCCCTCAGCACCAAGCTTCCACAACTTGATGGTACCGTCTCCGCCGCCCGAAATGAGCACCTCCTCTTCAGGTTCCACGAGTACAGTAGGACCCTTGGCCATGAGCATCGAGTAGACATAGCCGTAGTGGGCAAACATCTGCACAGCGCCCGGATGAATTTCCACCACCTTTTCAGATCGCGGGATCAATGTCCACCTCTCATCGTTACGGCGCGGCGTCGTTGTCCCTCCTACAGCTCGCGAGTCGAAGAACCTGTGATTTCGACGGTCGGGATGTTGTGAAGAGTCGTGGGTGGTACGGTTATTCGGATCGGTGAGGCTGACCCATTGAATCGAGGTGTTTTGCGCGCCAACGTACACCGTCTCATGCTGAGCGCTGTAGGCCACGGAAAAGATGTCGCCAACGTCGTAGGTGCTGTAAATCTCGTACAGCCGCTTCATCGTCTTGGGGCACCAGACATTAATGAGGGGATCTCCGGCGCTCGAGAAGAGCATGGAGCCGTCGGGGGTGAGGAACAGGCTCAGCACGCTGCGCTTGTGGGCCTGGACGATGCGCTCCTGGTGGAAGGTGGCCAGGGACCACACGACGATCTCGCCATCTTGGGTGCCGGCGTATATGCGTTCGTTCTCGGCGCTTACGGCGAGGGCGAGGACAGAGCTGTCATGCTTGAGGTTGTGGAGGAGTTCGGGGGCGACCTGGGGGCAGTCGTCCGTGTCGCTCAGGTTCGTGGACAGGTCGGAGGCCGCAATAGCGGACGGCATTGTGTCTTCTGTCGCGCGAGAAGGGAGGGGGACAGCTGGTCAGCGGAGATGTTTAGGCGAAAGAATGCGACCGGTCGACCCAACAGAGAGAATGGAATGGGTCGATCGAGGTTGGAGAAAAGAAGAGCGTTAGGTGGCGTGTTGAGACAGGAAAGGAAGAAGCAGACGTTAGGTTGTGACGCATTTCCCAAGATGAATCGGCCAAATTGGCTGCGAACTCGCAACGAAAATGGCGAATGACGAAATGCGCTAAAGGGGAGTCACTCCGCCCACCTTTCCCCCCGGGCAGCGTGGATCTCCTCGTAAGGGACCTCTCCTCTAGGGGTGGACACCGTGGACGTCCCAAGGTTTTGGGCTGAGTGGATCGTCCCTAGGTGCAGTTCCTGGTAGTCCAAGTGCTCTAGCTCCCGTAGCTACAAGGTCCACTGCTGTTTTCTCAGGGGAACTACAGGGACCATTGTGACACGAATTGTCACTTTGAAGCATCCACGTCTCGTGACACTTGTCCGTTTTTGAACTTTCCTCAAAAGCCCAGCAAATTGATCAAGTTATAGTAAGAGACGAAGAAACTCACCATCTTCATACTCTTCAGAAGACTCGGAGCCAACCGATAGTTCGACTAGATCCCGGTGTATCTTCCGGCACCCCGCGCAGTCGTCCTCGCCCGGGGCGTGGGGCTCACCAGATTTGTATACCACGGCCATCTCCTCGAGATGGCAACGATGGTGTCCGCGATTCTGAATCCGTACGCTACGGAAGGATAAGAATTCGTAGATGGGCTGAATCCGCTTCGTTCCTGGGGTAACTCGCCCCAAGCCAAAGGTGGGGAGGGGGGATTTTCTCTATTTGTACGGACGTCCTGATGGCTTTGACTCTCTCACCGCTTCATGACGCAACATTGGAGGGGATGGTATCATACGCCCGTGATAGCAAATATAGGGAACAGCAAAAGCGCTGGTATGATTAGGTATGATTCAGTTGAAGGAAACGAGATTAAGAAAAACGGGCGGTCGGGAGTGGCCTTAAGCGTCAAGGAAGAACTGTCCGCAGGGCCGAGATCGGTTGCGTGATTTCACATTTCACAACTTCGTACTCCGTACAAACCGTCAGGTGGGCGCCAAGCACTTTTATCGCCTGGACCTCTTCCAATCCGTATGGGCGTGGAGTCTGTCCGCTTCGGCGTCCATCCATCCAAGCCAGCCACGATCCTCCTCAGCAAGTGACACCTAGCTGAGACAGCCCGGGATGGTCGCCGACCTCCCTGTGAGCCTGTGAGATATGAAGAAAGGCCTCAGCAGCGGACAACAGCGTAGGTAGCTCACCGCAAGATTGGTCTCCAGATGTGCCAATCTGCCAGACCTCCAATCCACATCCAGGGTGCGCGTGGTGATCTTCCGAAGCCACGGCCCCCAGCAATCTGTGTTCTGCCCTATTGGAGGGCACCACGCTTCCGACGACGAAAACGGAGCACCGGTGAACGGCCAAGTCTGTCCGACAAGGCGACAAGGGCTGGCAAGGGTGTTATCGAAGTAGCTGTCCGTTGGATTAACCCGATAGGCCTCACTTCTCACCCATGGTCGCATACAACCCGCAGATCCGTCGGGAAGGAGTCTGCCGTAAGCCATATATCGTTGTTGGGCTGAACAGACGGCGGGACAAGATATCACTGCACCAACAATATTATCTAGTGTACATTAAGGTGCAGAGCTATACTACGTACACTACGTCCGAGTGGTGGAGCAGTAAGGTAGGTAGCTGAATATGGGGCTCAAACTTTCGCCTTA